GTTATAGTACAGTTATAGTACAGTTATAGTACAGTTATAGTACAGTTTCAAAACTGACTAAGAAACTTAAAAGAAAAAACTGCATTCCTGTTAACAGCAGATACTGTATTAGGTTTGGTAAAGGCAATTTTACAGGAGGCTGGCCAACGGCTGTCCCAGCAGGGATCCACGAAATGCAGCCACACACCAACACGGCACCCAGAGGCCCGATGGCACCTCACGTGTTGTCCCTCAGAAGGGCCGGCCTACCTGCGCCAGGAACATCACCAGCTCCGCCAGCTCCTTGTTGGGCTTATCGGGCTGGAAGGTGAAGATCTCCACATGGGACTGATAGTGGTGGTACTGCTGGAGGAACTGGGAACACAGAGCGGTGGTCTTTAATTCAGACGGAAAAACGCCCGCCACCCCGCCGCCGTTCCCTCTCTTACCTCTTCGGTGTAGGACGTGGGGTCGCGCTTGATGAGGTTCTGCAGCTGAGGCAGGTTGCTGGGCAGCTTGTTCCCCTGGCGGCCCGACATAGCGCCGGCTCCCGGTACAGACGACCAGACGCGTGAGCTACCGACTGGGCGCCGCCATCTTAGCCCCGCCCCGCAACGGGCGCCACCGAGGGTCAAATTTCGTTCGATAGCGGAGTTTTCGCGCAGCCCTTCCCGTGTGGGGGCACCAATAAACGGCGCAAGCTGTATGTACGCGACTTGTAAAGAGCCATAGAATCCTTAAGGTTCGACAAGACTAAGATTAGCCAGGTCCAACCGTCAACCCATTGCTGGCTGCTTGCGTTTGAGTGAAGTCTGTTTCAAGAGCAAGAGGCCTGCAGTGGCCAGGCATAGCAACCCACCTGCAATTAAAACTAAAGTGGTCTCTTTGTTCCTGTAAGGTATTACCACCTGACAGAACACAGCAAATTTCATATAGAAGAGCAGCAGAGCATCCTTCCTCTGCTATAGTCATGGTCAGTCAAAACTGATAATAAGCAGAGGAAATGGAGGCATAAATTTTAGGTTTGAGTAACATTGTCTCTGTAAAATGCTTGTTAAGAAGCTCTGGATCAGTCTATGATTGTTCTATTTGCTGTGCTGCTATCGTTATATATGAAGTATTTTCTGCTGTATTTTCGTGTCTTCTTCAGGGCAGCTACAATTTGAGTTAATGCCTTGAGCAAAAATGCCAATTACTGATTTATTGTTATTATCGTTTTACAAATGATTTTGGAAAGTGGTTTGTAATAGAGAGCCATCTGTGCTTAAAGGCAGCTTATGAATTGCCTGATTGTCTAGCAGTAGAAATTGGTTTCAGTATAGCAAATAACAGACAGGAGAGAGGATATAAAAATGGGGATTCTGTTCTGGGAAGCACTGATTAAGTTGGTGATTATTCATTAGCCAGCTTTCAAGTCAAGGGACTAAAGTTTTCTTCAGAGAGATAAACAGAAGAATATGGTTTAGGATTAAGGAAAAAAAATCATGCTGAGACACACAAGAAATCTGTGTTCTTTGAGAAGAGATATACACTGGTTTTGTGATCTTAAAGTCATATCTCTCAGGAAATGGAGGAACCTGGCTTCCAGATGTGATTCTTCATTGTGGCAAAGTCCAGGGAAGATACCTTCTCCAAAGTTCACAGGAACCTTATAAGAGATTAAAGGTCACATATTTAAGTGACTGCAACATTGACCCATCCTTTGCATGGCAGTTGCATTTCACTTGCCTAAGACTGTCTTGTAAGCAAGTGGGTTTCCTTTGTTACCCTGTGCACTATCAGTGTAGAAGCTGCTGAGTGTGTCTTTGGCTGCTTGGGTCTATACAAACACAGCTCTTTGATCAGCTCTAGCTCACAAACTGGAGATGAGCTATGCAGGTATAGAAACAGCAGTAAGTCCTGTCACATCCCTCAAAACCAGAGAAGCATGGAGCTTGTTTGGAGGTCTGGATCTGTCAGTAACATCACTATTTGCAATAAAGGTGCAGAGGTGTGGAGTGTTTTCAGGTATCTTATCTGCATTACTGAATGCCATCATTTCTACCACAGCATGGTCTCTGCTGAATATCACTAACTTCTGGCAGAGGTGTGGTTTACAGGAAGCAACAATAATTCTGCACAACTGTATCTTTTAGGATTTTCCATGTTGGATCAGTAGTTTGAATTAAGATTAGTTGACACCATAGATGTGCTTACCCTTGGGTAGCTAGCAGCATGACTTCTGAGAAGCAGCTTTCAGATTGTTAGCTCTGATCAGAAAGAGACCTACTTGTTATTTACTACATACATCATATTCCTTTGGCTTAGTAATATTGGCCTGAACTTGAGAGTAACAGATACTTAAAAGAAATAGCATTTAGTCTAATGATGCTGTTTTTGAGATTGTAACATAATACTGGGTTGGGGACCAAACAGGGAATATACACAACATGCTAATAAGACAGTATGTTGCCCCTTATGGTTTTAATTTGCACCAAGGGAGGTTCAGGTTGGATATTAGGAAATTTTTTTTTCCCCAGAAGGCATGTTACTGCATTGGCACAGGCTGCCCAGGGAGGTGGTGGTGTCACTATCCCTGAAGGTGTTCAAGAAATGTGGAGATGGAGCAGTGAAAGATGTAGTCAGTGGCACATTGGGGATGGGTTGAGGATTGAACTGGATGATCTGAGAAGTCTCTTCCAACATTAATGATACTATAGTTCTGTGACAATATCTGCAGTTGCACATGTGCCACTGCTATTTATACTTGCTGCTCATGTGAATGATCCCATGCAACATTCATCAGTACCTAATCAGTAACTGCTTTGCTAGTGTATAAACAATGAACATCAAGATGCTACAATTACAAAACAAGCAAGAGAGTTTAGCAAAGCAGACTATGATAGTTAAACAAAAACAGACAGAAAGCTTACCTGTATCCTAGGCCCACTCACAAAACACCAGCAGAGCAGATCTCCAGAAGAGATCCTTCCCCACTGGCAGCCAGCTCTTAAATAGGTCTAGGAGGGGTGCAGCCAGGCTCCACCCCTTCCGGCAGCACAGGTGAATTGCCTTCAGCTGTGCTCCTCCGGCTTGCCTCAGGTGATCAATCAGAGGTTCAGGCCATGACTCAGCAGTTCCCATACAGCTAGCATAGTGGATTAATGTGGTTCTGGATAGTCAGGTGCAAATTTTAATACTTGCTTCAGAGATCTATGTGGAAATGTTACTGAAATATTTTATTTTGCTGAGTGCTACTGTGCTTGTGCTTTAGCATTAGATTGAGATGTAGAGCAGAGCTCACCTTAAAGCAGACTGCCCTGAAATTTTTCCCTTTTTCTTTCAGTCTGATCACTGTATGACTGCATGACCTATGCGACTGAAAAAGTAACACCATAATACTGCCCTGAGCTGACTTTTTTAAAATTTTATTACCATTTTTCTTATTGCTTAGGATAGCATGGAAGACAGCAACACTGATATGGTGGTGGGCAAATGTATTTTGATGTCAGCAGGAATATCAACCCAGTGTCTACATGTATTGGGATGCCTATGCAATCTGCTTGAGTATGCAGTATGCACACATCTTTAGGCAACACAATGAGAATGTGGTCAGGAATTAGCAGAATGTGTTCCAGAGGCTGCTGAGTTACTGCAATGTAATTTAATTGTTTTAAGTAGTTTCTTTAGAATTCACCTGCCAGTTTGTGTCTTTATTCAAATGTACCAGGAGCAGTGATAGTACCTTACTTAGCCCATGTTTATCCTGCAGAGCAATGTTAATGAACGCTTAGTAAAGGCACATTGAACAGTCTATTGTGTCGTGTTTAATCAGCAGTAAAGACTTTTGATTGATAAGCTCTTGAATAAGTGCTGGTGTTGAAAAATGAGCATATATATTGTGGCAAAATAAGATTCTGCTTTAATTCCAACTTTTTTCTCACGAAGTCCACAGAGATACACAACTCTCTGTGTATCTTACTGTGAAAAAGCCTTTGTTGTAGGCAGACAGAGTTGTGGATCTGGTTTCCACAACAACCCTCTTGAAACAAGCCTAGAGTACCATGCCAGCAGGGACTTAAAACAAATGCCTTGTCTGAAGTAATACTACAGAAGTATTAATTCTACATATTTTCTTGTAGGTTTTTAAGATTTTCTGGAGATTTTCTTGCAGAGTAATGCTGAAGTAGCTTTCTGTTTGCCATTTGCTGCAGAATAACATGCCTAAGGTATCTTCATAGATCTATAAATATCAGGTATGTACTTCTCTCTTTACAGTTCTTGTAGTACTTGACAGTAGTTTCTTAGAACACGGTTTTTTACAAACACTCAGGAATTGCTTTGTCTAGAGGCATTGCTAACACAAGTGAATAATGCTGATTATCTCTGAAGAAAATCTTTTATGCTGTTTGGTATTGTTTGCTTTAGCAAGCAAGGACAGTACTACTAAGGCACTGAAAGTAGTAATTTAAATAGTGTCAGTTGCTGACACTGACACTACTGCTGAAGTAAACTAATACAGGTAAGCATGAAACTAACTACACAAGCCTCATGAGCAGTCTGACCTGGTAAGACCATTTATGGTTTAAACCATGAAATCTGCATTGAAAAAGATTTGTGGACATGAAAACAAGCCAAGAAAGAGTGACAGCACATCAAAACATGGGTAGGCTGGGCTGAAGCAACAAAATACTTTTTCCCTAGAGATCCAGTGTGGTCTCTGTGTCCCAATTCAGCAGGTGCTCCAAGCTCTGAAGGAGATGGTCTTCCAAGTAAAAGGCTTTCAAATGTGAAGTCTTATAAAAGATAAGAAGAGAAGGTATTTAAAAAAATCCCATAAACAAGGAGTCACAGACTTCACAAAGGGACTGAAGAGGTTGTGCGATATATCCAGAACCTCTGTACCATTCAGGAGATACTGCAAAAATGAAAGTATTGTCAGGGATGCAGCGGTCATTTGGACTGAATATTTGCTCCCATTTGTGTTTTTCTATGTCAACAGATCCAGCCTCTACAGTGTCTGGGGCAGTACTTTGATATAAACATCTACAGGTGGAAAGGCAAAAAAGCCTCTCCTCAAGACCTGTCCACTGTCACTGCCTGCATCACTAAGAGCTCTGTGAAGGGGTAGGAAGAAGGAAAAGTAGGAGTGCATTGCCTGTCTTTGGCCTAGCTGCTCCTACAGAGGTGGCTGTCGTGACAATCTCTGGCAGGATTTGACGGCTCTTTTTAGCACTTTGACCTGGAACATCTATGAAAAACTGTGTACTCTGTGTAGCTGAAAATGTCTGCACCTGACTTTGTATCGCTAGGGGAATCCTAATCAGCTTGAGCCTGGCTTTGTAGCAGCATCTCAACATTTGTTTTAGATAGACATAATTCTCAGCTGCTGAATGATTTGGAGGAAATTAAGAAAACCTTTTCTAGCATCCAAAGAGAAAGTGAAGCCAAGAACAAACTAGGGTGATGCACAGATGCCAGTACCTGGTTAAGTGCAGAATGCTGAAGTTTAACAATGCTTGTCTTTTTTTCTTTCCACTTGCTTTGAAGCAGAATCTTTACATCACCACAGAATAGACAGTGTTTGCTGATGAGGATAGTAAGTCAATGCTTTATTGCCTGTGATTTAATCCCTGCAGATCAAAAAGGATTAAAGTGTTTATAACTTTGAATCACCTTGTTACTGTGCTTGAGAATCCGGCAGTGTGGATTTCTGCTGCCTGGCAGTTAGTGCAGCTTCTGCCCACTGTAGCAAACAGGGTCTTCTACTCCAGCCTGCCTGTTAAGGGTTGCCATGGCTGCCTTCCTGCCTGTGCCCCTCTCCTGCAACTACAGGAGACTACTTGGAAAATGCAAATTGAACACTGGATCTGCAAGCTCTTGAAAATAAAGATTGGTTTAGCTACCAATTTCTACCTCTTTGAAATGGATGAGGCTATTTTGCTGAAAACATTCAGTAGGCCACGAATGAAAGATTGCACGTGCAGTGAATGAAAGCTGGAAAAGATACTGTCAGCTGAAATAAGGCTGTTGAGAAGAATGAGGGCGATCTTGACTGGACACTTAGCTATGAATGCTTGATGGAAGGGTCTGCTGTCAGAAAGTGCTGGCTTGGATCCTGTCTGAATTTAATTGTTTTATCTAAACCTTATATTGGCTGTGATTTTGACTACATACATGCTATAATACAATTTACATTGCAATTGTGGGAAAAGTCAAAACTAAGCTTTACAGTATATTGATGTTCTTGAAGCAGTATATATGCATAAAATGAGGGTTAAAACAACTTGTTAACTTCACAGAACTTTCTTTACCTACAAATTTTTGAAGAGCCAGGAATTTCTGTGCGTGGACAGTTCTGATGTTTGGCAGTTGTTCATTTGCGCAGAATAAGTCAGTGTTTTATAAGCTTTTCTCTAAAGCTGAATAGTAGCAAAATGCTAGCTAGCATGGATAAGCATGCTTTCAGTTGAATACCCATTTTTACTTCAAATGTACTGTGTTCCTTTTCATTAGAATCCGGTATTTAAGTTCTGCTTAATGCATTTGCTTACAGAAGGGCAAAAATGTCACATAATTTCCAAGAAAGCAGGCTGGAGTTCCCAAACTCACTTAATGGCCGGCACTGGATATTCCTGAGAAAAGGCCTAGATGACTTCAGAGATGGCTTCCCTCCTTCATGTGAAAATATGGTTGTGTATGGTGAAAAGCGACCTGTCTCAATTATCCTAAAAAGCAGCACAGTAAAATCTTCATACATGGCTCCATGGAACAAAAGCAAGAAGTCCAGCAAAATACAGGTCTGTCTTTCCCACCTCAGTCCTCAACAGCAAAGCAGGAGGAATTACATTGTGTGCATAGGGCACTGTCTGAATCCGATGTGCTCTACAGTGCTCTATTCGTGTTTGGAAAAAAGTATCTCCCCAAAGGCATTGATTTTTATAATCCTGATTAAACATATTCTTTAGAAAGTTGAAATAAGAAGCTAATCTGGCATGCAGCTATTTTTGATCACTGTCCTTTACTTCTTTCCAAAATAAAAATAAAGCCAGTGATGTGAAAGGTTTCTTAGATTCAGACAGTAGGACCAGCCTGTCAGCAAGTAATTTGCAGGACATAACTACAAAGAGGCCAAGAAATTTGACTGTGCTACCGCAGTAGGATTACAGAATGTTACGTGTTAAGATATCACCAGCCCCTGAAACAAATCAGCATCACTGGGCAAGAAGCAAAATTGAAAAGTTGAGACACTATAGCAGGGTATGATCTTACTACTTAAACTTTTTTTCATCCTGTTTACAGAAGCCTCTTCTCTGACTGGTTCTTCAAATTTGCTTCAAATTAGCTTCATACAAACAAAAGTTAGCAGATAGTTCTATTCTGTATCTGTGAATGTATGGGAACTGCTGAGTCACGGCCTGAACCTCTGATTGATCACCTGAGGTGAGCCATGAGTCAGCTAGAGAAATACAGGTGAAGACAATTCACCTGTGCTGCAGGAAGAGGTGGAGCCAGGCTGCACCCCTCCTAGACCTATTTAAGAGCTGACTGCCAGTAGGGAAGGATCTCTTCTGGAGATCTGTTCTGCTGGAGTTTTGTAAGTGGGCCTAGGATACAGGTAAGCTTTCTATCAATTCTCTTTTTGTTATCATAATCTGCTTTGCTTAACTCTCTTGTTTATTTTGTAGTTGTAGCATCTTGATGTTCATTGATTATGCAGTGAATTTCCAGAATTTTGTTACTTGAATGTTGTAAACAGAGGACTGTGATCAACTACAGACAAAATAGGGTTTGTTTTTTTTTTTTAATTATTATTATTATTTTTTTTTTTTACCACCAGTACTTCACAGAAGGAACAGGGGGGAGAGTGAGGAGTCTGTTTTGGAAATGGCAGACTTTACGCTATAATATATAAGGGGTCCCCTGGGTGTGAAGCATCTCAGTGTATACTTAGATTGCCTCAGAGGGATATGCTGTCCTAAGGCTTGGATGCAGTAAGATGATGGAAGGTTGATTAATTGAGTTCGGAAAAGGGAGTTGGGTCTCTGTTCTTGAGATCAGGCAACAGCAGAGCTCTCCCGAGCTGTTCTTATTGGAGCAGTGGTGTCATGAAATAAGTAGTTGTACTGAGAGGAGGAAAACTTGAAATCAACTGAAATAAAAGCTGATTTGTAGTACATCAGATTGCCATAGAAGATTACAGGGACTGGAAATGGAGCATTATTCCAAGAACTGGCAAGCAGCCTATGTTGCAATTAATGCTTTAGAGACTTAAGAAAGAAGTCTATAGCTTGAAAGTTCTGGACTATGAACAGCCTTAACTGTTAGTGTACTTGAAGAGATTTGTATGTTGCACAGTCCTTCATGCAGTCTCTAAAAGGAATTTGTTCCATAAGGTATTTTTTAACAGATGCCTTTTTCTGGGCTTACAGCTCTTCAATGAGGTCACTGGTATGTTCAATCCCAAAATCTTATTTAAGAGTAAGGCTCACTGTGAACAGGAGGACCAAACTCTTCAAGAGGGGGAGGATCAAATGGAGGACAAGCAAATGAAAGTAATGAGTTGCAAGATACTGGCATGGTGAGTACAGGAAAAGATGAGGAGAGTAATACAAAGGCTCCTCAAATGTTCTTTATCTGAGGTGAGATGTGTGGAGAAAAAAGAAACTCATTTCTGTGGGGAGGTTTGCTCAGAATTTGAATGATACAAAGCCAAACTGGGTACAGCAAACCCTCTCAGCTGGTGCTGATTTAATTAATTTGCTTGCTGTCTCTATCTTTGTCTAAGGCTTGGTGTTCCTATGAGCATTTTCTAAAATTTTACCTCTTCAACCAGCCCTTTCCAAAATCTGTCATGGGGATGATTTTCATTAAGATATGCCCCTTCAACTGCCTTAGTGATACTAATGATAAATTAATTGATATCTCACAACCTGTTCAGAAAGAAGTCATGATTACTTCTGGGTGTTACAAAGCCATAAGGAGTCAGCCTCCTGCTGCTGGTTAATTTCACAATCTGAACCATCTTAGGCAAAATATAATCACTCTCGTTTTTTCCCTAGGCCCTTTCAACAATTAAACACTATTCAGCCTCTGACTCTCAAAGGATAAACCTCACATATCTCCTTCCCAGATTTTCTAAAAAACAAAAGGCATAGTGATGAGAAACATGTATATCTAAGCCTTCACTTTTAAGAATTTTCTATTTCGAAAATGGCAGGCTATTTCCCTAGTTTCTCATCCAAACCTTGATTGTCTTGCGAAGTCTACCAGGTGTGACCCTAATATTTATGAAGATGTTATTTACAAGTAATTCAAATAGCTCAGACTATTCCTGGCAAAAACAATGCCACGTCTGGTGCTAAACTGCACCATCTTTAATACAAAGACATATAGTTATATGTAGTAGCTACTATATAGTCACTATTGTTGTAGCTAATTAAGGGACGTTTCATCTTTTATTACTTTAAAACCTGCAGCAGCCAGGAGTCTCAAGGCAAAAAAACAGGTGCTTCTCTTTCCAAGAAGAAGGTAGCAGCAAGAGAAAAAGAGGCCACACAGGGTGGCCCAGCTCCACTTGACAAATACGTAAAGCAAATAACCAAGCATTTTTGTGATTGGGTTATGTCTTTGGTAAGTAAAATAAAACTGCCGTTGTCTGTTCTTTCATTTTGAAAACCTAATTACTTTGTTTAGGACAAATGTCTATAGGTCTGAAGTGAAGTAGAAGTGAAAACATGGCTTTGGGTACATGAATCCAGTAGTCAAAGTCAGAAACATAGCTCTGTGTTGTGACTGAGAGGGCTCAGCCCACTGAAATGTGAAGAAAGTAAATATCACAGTACAACATTACTGCAGAGTAAACTTGCTTCAGAAAGGTTTTCTAGGGAATCCACCTATGTTCAAGTTGCTATTTTACTACCTCACCTGGGAGCAGTTCTCATTTATCTGAAATGTGTACTTCATTTATAAGCTCCAGCACTGCACTAGTGTGGCCTCACTGAGCACTGTGTGCAGTTTTGGGTGGCGTAGTACAAAAAGAACATAAAACTATTAGAGAGTGTTCAAAGCAGGGCTACAAAGATGGTGAAAGATCTAGGGAAGATATATGAGGAGTGGGTGAGGTCTCCTGGTTTGTTCTTTCCAGAGAAGGGGAGACCGAGGGGCCTACAGCTTCCTCGCAGGGGCAGGCGCTGGTCTCTGCCAACAGTGATGGGACCCAAGGAAACAGCATGAAGCTGCCTAAGGGGAGTTCTGGTTGGATATCAGGAAAAGGTTCTTCACCAGAGGGTAGTCAGGCACTGGAACAGGCTCCTCAGGGCTGTGGTCATGGCCACAAGCTGCTGGAGCTCAAGAAGCATCTGGACCACACTCTCAGTCATATGGTCTCGCTTTTGGGTGCCCTTTGTGGAGCCAGGGGTTGGACTCTGTGAGCCTTATGGGTCCCTTACAATTTGGGGTGTTCTATGATCATCGCTGTGGTGCAAATGCAAGCACCTGACCAGGGTTTAGTTGTACTGGAAGTTGAGGTTTTAGGAAGGAAATACGTGGAACAAAAAAGTAGTAAGATTATGTTGCTTTTTTTTTGCTCTGAGATTTTTCATTATGTTGCTCTTCTAGGGAGGAGGGAACTGGAATATTGATGAAGATGCACTCAAAAGTTTGTTCAGCATCAGCCTTGGAAGGGAGGTCACCCTCCCTACACCTTTCTGTGCAGTGAAACTCTGTGTACAACCAGAGCAGTCAAAAAGCCAAGAGGCTTCACCTCCCGAGATTGCTGTCAGGAGTTCTCATCAGCTAGGGTGCTTGCCATGCCAGGTTAAGGTAAAAGAGCCCACATTAATATTTACTGAATTCTGTCTGTTCTGGATGACGTTTGGCTGAGGTTACCTGCTGGAGCTGAGGAAGGAGCCTGGTTTTCTGAAGCACTTGAGCTTTTCTGTGTACTTATCTCAGGGAAACAGTGCGCATAAAAAAGAACTCTTTAATCATGGTTACTTTTTACATGCAGCAGAGCAATAAAATAGGAGAATGAGACCTAAGAGTACTATTTAAGGTATAGCTATACAGTCTTTTTGCTGGTCAAACTATAGAGAATTCCCAGCAGTTTTACTTGTATCCAAAGCCAGTGAAATAAATGGAAAATATGGATCAGTGTTGTGTGACTTTAGGATGAAGTCTGGTACATTATGTCTGACGTACCTCAAATGCAGTTTGTTAGGTGTTTGGAGTCTCTTAAATTTCTTGGTCCAGAGTATGCTTGTGGCACTGATGTAGGAGTGCAGGGAAAGTGGTGAAGGTGGAAACAACTGGAGGACACTGAAGCATTGGACCATGACTATAAAGTCCCCATCCTTCCTGTTAACTGCATTTCTTGCTGTCCTTTCTTTTAATCACTGAATACCTAGAAAAAGACTAAAAGCAGCTGAGGTAAGAACTTGAGGATTTTATAGAAAAGATCTGCTAAGGAATTTTAGGTAAGTGGTCAAAGTTAGGCCAGTTTTGGGATAATTTGAACACTAGTATTTCTATAATCTCTTAGTCCATGAATTCTGTTTTGAAACAAAAAAAAGCATTTATTCAGCCTCTGATTCCCAAAGTATAAGCCTCACAGACCTCCTTCACAGGTTTTCCATGCAATGAACCTCTTAAATAAACAATTGATGTTCAGATGGCTTGAGACTAGAGACACCCA